GACTGTGTGTGTATGTGCGTATGCTTGCCTCCGGGACTTTTCTCTGTAACTGATGGTTTCCACTGAAGCATTTGGGCAATTTCCTGGACTGTCTCTTTTTTTTCTGAATGACTCAATGATCAAATAAACACATTTTTTTCATTGAAAAATCAACACAATAATTCTCCTTTTCTTCTCTCAAGTTGGTTTCAACAATCTAAACCCTGTGCTCTTCTCTCCTTCTGTGTTTTTTTGTATCCTTCCTTCCTCCTCCTCCCTGTATTGCGCTGGGCTCTTGTCTTCCTTCAGGGATGGTCGCTCCCCATCTCACTGCATGTATGAGAAATGACAAGATGGGGGAGGCGTCTGTCCCCCAAAATCAGACCACGGTTTGTAACTGTCCTCCCCTGTCGTCTGAACCTCGCTCTCCCACACCCAGTCTCTCTCTCTCTCTCTCTCTCTTTCTCCACCTTGATCTCTGTGTGGTGTGGCCTCAACTCACCCATGCCCGTGCTCTGCTCCATGCATACAAATCCATTCACCGAAAAATGCATTGCCAGTGCCGCCGCTACCGTAATTGCTGTCAAGGACACTCCATGCCTATGTCTGCACCAGCTGCATTGAACATTACCTTAGAAATTCCAAAGCTGAAGAAAGAGTCTAGTTGTTTAAGAAGTCACAGCACAGTTTTTGTCATTGCTAGATATATTGGATTTATTTGTTTTCTTTGCAGTTTGAGGTATTTCCTACACATCGACCTTTACAGCTTATTCATAACCCCCGGATAATGATAAGCGTTTAGCTGGCTGCTTATGTAGATGCAATGGACATGAAGAAAGTTCCTTAGGGTGATAGAAAAGTGATTCAAAAATCCTTCAGGACATTTCATCCTTTTTTTTTTTTTTTTTAAAGCACATGCCTGCTTCATCTCTAAGCTGTTACTGCAGCTTAATTAGCTTCAAAATGTTAAAAAGTTCTTGAGGCATCATGTCAGTGCATGAAAGAGCATGGCTAATCAGTTTGATCAGGAAGTTTCATCAACATGCTGCACGTTGGCATTGACTTCGACCAGCCAAGTCCAGCAAGCTGATCAGCTGAGTCCCTCTCTGACCTCAGGTCTACCTGGGAACAGGTTTGTGGTGGGTAAAAAAAGTCTCTAAGCAATGGCTGCCTTTGTGTCACTGCCACTTATTCTCATGTAAGCTCCACTAATGTGTTTCCATTGGCTGCTCCTGTGCCATCTAACAATTAGTCATCTCTGTTGGCATTAACATCAGAACGGCTTCCATTGAAAATGTTCTCAGCTTTATGTCCGAGTGGTTAAGCATGGTAAATGTTGAGGCACATAGAAGCCTTTAGAGTCTAGATCCATGTTTGATCCTCCTGCCCTCGTCTGTATGTCACACTCTGTTGCAGACGGCAGCCCCAACGACAACATCTCAGCCAACACAGCCGCAGGGTTACAAAACGCTGCGGAAGTGAGTACCCTGCCCCCAATCACCGCGCCATCGGAGTCAAGTTTACCACCAGAACCCAACCAACCATCCCGGAGCAAGAAGGAGCCGAACCGCCACTCCACTGGCACCGGCAAGCATCACCATTCCAGACACCGCCACCGCTCCCCCCACAAGAAAACCAGCACGGGAAGACACAAGGGGAAGAAGTCCTCAGGGGGGAAGTACAAGCTCTTCAAGAAGAAGGATGACAAGGGAAGTGACAGCAACCGCCCCCACCGCAGCCGTCACCGTTCACCTGAAAGAGGGCGGTCACACAGTGCAGAAAACACCTTGGACAGCCATCACAGGGGGCATCGTCATGGGCGCTCACCAGACAGACGCCACCGCCACCACTCCCCTCATCGCCGTCACCGCTCTCCTCATCGCTCTCCTCACCGCTCCCCCTACCGCTCTCCTTACCGCTCTCCCCATCGCCACAGGTCTCCCCATCGTTCTCGACACCACTCCCCTACCAGACGCCGTGCTCACTCTTCAGACCCTTACCGCCGATTCACCTCTCCTGAGAGACCGAGCCGCGGTAACGAAAAGCCTAACGTGGAGGAGGCTGTATTGAAGGAACCGTCTGCGTCTCCTGAACCTAGCCTCCCTCTTGAGGACAGCATCCTCCGTGAGCTCCCAGCCCTAGACCGCCTGAACCGGGAGGACACACTTCCACCACTGCGCAGGGAGGATCGCCTGTTTGGGGAGGACAGTCTGCTGTTGAAAGCATCGACCATGGAGAGAGCCTACAGAGGGGACAGCCTGCTGAAGGATGTGGCATCCAGTGGCCCGAGAGACACCTACAGAGATATCCCCTTACCCAGAGTGCGCACCCCTGACTCCGATTCAGCCTACAAGAGGTACAGCTCTCTGCTTAGGGGGCGCTCACCTGAAAGAAGGGAGCCCCAGGGGGGCCGAGGAAGCTCTCTTGAGCCGTATCGGACCCGCAGCCTGGGACGAGACATCTCCCCCATCAGGAGCTTCAGAAGGGACGACTCAGAGGACGAAGAGGACGATGACAACTTTGTAGCAGAGAAGGTTAGGGAGTACTACAGCACGCTCCAGAACAACACCAGTCGCTCATCTAAGGCCACGCTCCCTGAGCCCAAGAAGACCTACAAGGGAAACCCCAAAGATCTGAGCATCTGATTGGATGGCTTTGACCAATCACAGCCGCTACCCACAATACACCTCAAGTACTCACTTCTGAAACCAGAAATCAGTTCTACAAAAACGCACCCAATTGTGAACTAACAAACATATAGACACGCCAGATAACACCCACACTTACACACACTCTTAAGTACTCACACACACACTCACACACATTATGTAACATTGTTGAGTTACTAACAAGACAGTGATTCCAAAATGACTTTTGAAAGCTGTCCTTTTTTTTTCTTTTTCTAATCGTATGTTTTTTTGTTTTTCTTTCTTGTTTTTGGTTTAGCATTCTACATTTACAGTTAACGCCAGACTTTTCCAGAAAATGTAAAACCATAAAAAACAATGATGTGCCTAACAGTTCCATTAACAAGCAACATTTTTTGGTTTTGATTTGGTACGTGACGAGCATTTTGTGCCGCAGTCACAGTCAGATGATGAAATGTATGTACTTTTTTCCACGAGGAGCCCATGGAAGTACCGCGCACCTGGATCACTGTAACCGGTGCTCACAATGATGCTGTGCATGTCTTTACCGGTTTCAATGTCTCTCTCTCTCGCTCTCTCTCTCTCTCTCTCTCTGTATCTCTCTTTTTCTGTCTCTCTCTCTCTTACTCTGTATCTCTCTCTCTCACTCTCTCTCCCCAGTGCCACTGTTTTTTAGACATTTGACCAGACTATAGCACAAGCCTGCATTTGTTTGTATATTTTTGACAGTTTGCAGTATGTGTACATTCAGAGGTGATCATTTTAAATGAATGAAGGGGAAATTAAAAGTTAAACTATGATGATGATGATGATGATGTTAAAATAAAATAATATATTCAACAAATGAAAAACAAATGTGTGGCTTATTGTACGTGGTTGGCCTTTATTAATCTAGTCATTAATGGAGCCTGATTATAATCACTGTAGTTCTTAACTCCTACAAACAAGGAATACGACTGTCAGAGCATCAGAGGCAGATTTTGGGTGGCAGGTAGAAAAAGTCTGTGGAGCCCTGAGCGCTCATCATTTGGGCAAACAAAAGACAAGAAGACTGGGGAGGCTGACATTGTTATCTCAGGCCTCCCATAAGTGTGGATCTGTGTGTGCGAGGATGTGCGATAAGTCTTTGAAGAAAAGTGAAGCAAAGAGCTCCCATCCTTTCTCAACATCAAAGCCTGGATAGAGGAGTCTTAAAAAGTGTTTCTCCACTCCTCCCCTCACTGCTTTCTTTGATTAGTGCCTTTTCAGTGGCCCAGTTCTCTTCTTGTTGTCCTCAACAGTCCTTCCTCCTGTATTCACTCTCTTAGCTGAAAATATCTACACTAACTTGAGAAACAATAATGAAAAATGTGCCGGTTCATACAGGACAGTGACAAAGATAGATGGATGATGACACCGGGCTGTGCACTCTTTTATTCCGCCTCCAGAAACAACAATGGTGGAGGAGAGAAAAAGCAGAGAACAGAGTGGTCAGTCTTGGTGACCTGTGAATGCCGGCAGGGATTTACTTCTTCAGAAAAATGAAATATTTTCTCTGGCGGTGTCTGACGCTTGATGATAAACACACAGGAGGAGGCAGCACATGTATCAGCAGCTGCTGGATGAAGACCACAATGTGTGGAAAAATGTCTTTTTCTGCTTAACTTTGATCTTTTCACATAATATTTAATGATATTCACTTTTAAGTTTCAATTTAAATATTCAAGTTGTACTGGGTGTCTTCCAGCTCTGAGATAATGTCTGTTTAGGCCATATTTACCCTCCTTACCGCCTGGTTTAGATGCATGAACAAGTGCTCAAATATGGGCTGAACTGAAGGTTTTTTTCGAAGCTTACATCATACGAAGTTTCTTCCAGTTGCTGCAGCACATGCCAAGGTATTCAATACCATATGTTCAAAAGTATGCATCCAAGATTACCCAGCGGACACGATCTGCAGCTCATGAGAGGAAATGGGAAGCAGAGATGAAGCATCGCGATCAAACACTAACATATCAGAGCTTTCTTTGGCCCAGTTTCTCTGCAATTCAACAGGGTCTAAGTGCATTTTACCCCTTTTGATGCAATGATCTGAAAGTGTTTTTACATGGCTACGTTTATGAAGCTGGCTTGCAGTGCTAGCAAGAGGCGCATGCATTGCAATTAGTTTTTTATGTGCGTTAATTGCAAAATGTAAGGGGCAGGGAAGGATCTCATGATGAATTAAGATTAATAGGCTTTTAATCACAAACTCGCCTCCTTTTCTCTTGTGTCAGTCTTGTCTTATTTGGGACAGACTGTAGACTACAAAGAAACACAGAGACGTTTGTATCCTGCACACACTTCTCCTTTCTCTCCTCTCCCACAGTGGAGAGAGGAAGCAGCTCCTAAATAATGGATGTAATCCACTTTCAAGCTCAGAAACACTCCCCTCTCTTTAAATCTCTCTCTCCCTCCTTATCGGGACACACTCCACTCCCTCTCATCATGAAATGCAGGAACACAGCTCCATGTTTTATTGCTTGCACGACCCCAGAAATGATTAACAACCCTTGTCTGGTAACAATTCATCATGTCAGTGCCAGGGAGGAGGATGAGACAGTAATGAAATGTCCAATATCAACACACACCACTACAGACCAACACAGCAACCGCTCCCACTGGGTCAAGCCTCCATTCTCCCATCAGCTCGGCTCCAGGTGCATTTGTTCTGACCTTGGAGTCCCTCTGCTCCACAGTTTCCATGGTAACGCCGATGCAATGGGCTCTTCCTGGAGCTGACTGGAGGAAGACGGGAGTTGTAGAAGTGTAAACAAGGTGGAGGTAGAGGAGTTAATGAAAAGACAACAAAAGTGCGGGTTTATTTTCATCTGTGTGCTCAAGATTTCAAGATGCTTTCACTCAGGAGGTTGAGAAAGTTTTGAAGCTACTTTTCTCAAAGGGAGCAGGGCAGCCCATATAACAAGCCTCCTGTGGTTTTAGCCCACAAAGGGAATTTCGCACTATGGGTTTTTCTTGTCGAGATCAAAAAAGTACTGAGTAGCATCTACTGCAGGTGAGGCATGAAGCCAAAAAGCAGAGCAGTTTTACAGTGTGGGAAAATGGCTGCAGACTATGACAGCTTCTACACAACTGGAACCTGTTATTTGAAATGAAGAGTCGCCTTTTCCCTCCTTTCTTGAAACCAACAACCAAATTTTATTATTATCCTGGTTCTTACTTCAGCAGTTCATGTAGTTAAACACTTCTGATAGTTGCCCCTGAGAGAACTGGAGTGTTTTATTTATTTAGCAGGTAAATCTGAGCTTGATTTAGATTGAACAAATGAGAGACATGTTACCGAATTCTTCAGTCAGAACATTTAAAAATTATTCATCTTCCAAACAAGATATGAAGCATTCATCCTGAGGGTGCAGGTTAAGAGTCAAACTCAAGGCTGAAAAATGAGTATCTTCTTGTAGGTGTAATGAAAAGTTGTTAGTGTGTTAAAAGACTAAATCAAGATGTGGTGAGTCAAAACATCCCGCATTATAACTGCAATAATAGGGGAAATCTCAAAAGTGTGAGTGGATGGGCAAATATGTGCTTGGATTAAAGATTGTGGACTCACTAAGATTCCTCTATATTATACATGACATCAACATTTGATCAGGAGCCGAGTTTCAAGGTACACCAAGCCCATTATTATTTTAACACAGATGTATCAATGCATGATCTGACTGCCATTAACAACTACACGCAGTACAACTTTAGAACAGTGATACACGACTCCAGAACTACAGGCTAAAACTGATATTTTCACGTCAAGGAAAACACACAGGCCTATTTGTGAAACTTGATCAAATCAAATACATATGTTACATTTCTTTACAGCAAAACAACCATCAAATAGACACTGCAGGGTATAAAGATGGAAATAAAGAAGCAGTGACCATTCCTTCTTTGAATGCATGATCTGATAATTTTGCTTGAAGCTAACAGGTAAAATAATAGGAGGGACACTACATCACCTCCCACTACCAGGCAGGTAACTGCATAGGAGTGTAAGGTAAGTCTTGGGCTGTGTCAGTAGCCATGTTTACATCTGCAAAATTTCTTGATCCTATTAAAAAATGAGGGATCGAATAATCTGAATCCACTGTTTTTATGGGTGCAAAATAAAATAATACGATCATGAAGCGCATATACATGCACCATAGCCTGGCTGGGCCATCCTGTTGCGTGAATCACTGTAGATGGTGACGTCTAACACATGGACCAATCAGGGGCTGCCTTTCCTTGTTGTCCGGGGAACAGTGGAAACACAGTCACTAATTGGCCCGGTTATTTTCTGATCGCTAATACACGCTCCCAATGGGCCGAAGTCCAGACTGTTGTGGGAAGGAACGGCAAGTGATTCACGCAACTGGATGGCCCAGCCAGGCTACATGCACCAAGCTTTATTCAGATTAGTATTTGAAAACACGCAGAGTTGTCTAATTTCGCTAAAACAACCGCAGAAGAAGAGTTGTATTGACGCATGTGCTGTCATCAAACCAACAAACACAGGAGTGGCTTACTTAATCCAATTCAAGAGTTTTAACCTTATTAATGATTGTCACAAGATGGCGCCCTTGCGTACTTATGCTGCGTTCAAGTTACCTCGGAAGTCAGATGTCGGAGCTGAAAATGACATCACACCCGAGTCCTCAGCGTTTCAGTTACCGTGTCGGAAAAAAGCAAAATTTGGAAGCCTGAATCAAAATGGCTACATCTACGAATGTTATTTTAGCGCTTGCCTTATGTTCAGACAATTTTCAGCTCGGACTTCTGACTTCCGAGGTAACTCGAATGCAGCACAATTTTACTGTTCTGTTAAAGGTTGCACTGTGCGTGCAGATGTGACATCATTACGCTGTATGTACGCCTCGTTATGTTACCGGAAAAGCAGAAACGGCACCGGCGGAATGTGTTTTATGCCAGAGTGTTAATAATGGAACCTCCCGTACTGGCCTCAATAAATAAACCAAAGGCTAAAGAGTGAAGACCGAGTCAGGTAAGAGATTCACGATCGGATTAAGTGTTTACATGGACGCGTTTCGGAAGAACGATCGGCATACAATTTCTTTCGAATTGGATCAGAAACTTCCGACCGACATGTTTACATGACGCATTTTTACTCCGGCATTTATACCGATTATTTGTGCGCATGAACCCGAACTAATGTGCAGATTAATCTATAGTTCAACTGTTGATTGAGGGCGATGGCAAAGCGGACAGCTTTGAGTCAGCGTCATTGTCCAAAAGGAGAAGAACAACATGAATGTGAACTGAGTACAAAAGCTTACCAGAGCTCTACTTCAAATTTGCAAAAGCATCTGCAGGATAAACATAGCTCCACAATACTGTTTCTAAAATTGCATTGACTAAATTATCTATAACAGCCACTCTGAAGGATATTGATAAGCTTCTAGCAGGTTAGGTGGAGGTAGCAGTGATGTCAGTGGTCGACTCTCTTTCATGCCTTCTGGATGGTATAAGCAACACAGGTAATGAGTTATGGATGTTGGAGGGGTTTAAGGATTTTAGGTTTTGCTCATGGACAAGCGCTCGAGTGCATTGCTTTGGTTTGTAAGTAAAACATGAAGGTTAGAAGCTGACATATACTTTCAAAAGCAGCACTAAAAACTGCAGACAAGAAAGTTTGATATTGGACAACCAGGTCAACAGAGAGAACTGATAAACTTTCAGTTAACAAGTAATCCATGACAGAGGCTGTGTTTCTTAAACAGGAGTGTTGGTGTGCCAACATGAAATTTCCTCCTTCTTTTGAAAAACCATAGGTGTTCCTAATAAGATGAACAATGGCTGTGTTTCATTTAAGCCTCCAAATAAAGCATGACTATGAGCTGGCATGCACAGTGCTCAGTACCTTCAGACCAAATAATTGATTGTAATGCTTTACACCTGTGATCTTGCAGCTGTGGTATGCAGTGTGTGGGTGAAAATGCTTATTTGTGCAGCTTTGAAAGGATGCTAGATCAGGTAAAAGGGATGCTGCCGTGAGATACTTGGTCATGCTGTGGTGAATAAAGAGAAATGGATCAACGGACTCTGTGGCCACAATGCTGGGTGAATTTTGTTAAAACATGTATCAGGTTCAGGAGAAGGCTTTAAGTGTAAAACATGTTGCAGCTGCACAGGTGCACCGCTACAGATGTGGATATGGAGACACAGAACTTGACACCAAGATGTCACCCCTGCTCCGCTCCTCTGTGGAGATGTGTGCATGTAAGCGTGACTAATGGGTAAAGAAGCAAATCCCCCACTTGTGCAGACTCAAGTGTTTCTCCCCTCATCAGGTCACTGTCTCACTACTAAATCCCTCGTCTTTATTCATGCATACGGTGTCCCTGATCAAAGCCAAATTACTGTACACCTTTAGCTCAGATTAATGCCATTCTTGAAGTGACTCAAAACGAAGCAGTTCCCTCAAAGCTTCCCCAGACCCCACAGATAAAATAGTTACACTTTCATAAGAAATGCATGTGGAAATGTTGGCTTTGCCTGTTCCACTGCTGAATGATTCATTTCAAACTGTGTGTGGAGCTGTTTGGTCATGGTTATTCCAAGACAAAGATACAACTAGACCTTCAGAGGAGTGATTTTATTCAGTCTGTTCTTTGGAATAAGTTATGAATTGCAGTCAACAAAATGAAAAAAAATTCAGTTTCTCTTCTTTAAAACAAAACAAGGCCGAAGTTTATTGCAGTGCAGCCAAAGCCGATGAGGGCGCTTTTGTAAACTTTGAATATTTATAGATAGGACATTGAGCTGGAGGACACAGATGATGCATGAGCATCCACATGTCAGGCTGCATGAACGGTGGTGTCATGACTTGGCTTTAAGAAACAGTAAAAATTACATGGAGACTACAAATCCTCAAGTGATTTGAAGCAGCAGTGATTTGTGATTGCCACGTCTACTCAGCAGCATGCCAGTCAGAGTGAAGAAAAGTACTCTAAAGCCAAGGTTTTCTGTTCCCTCTATGTAGTTAGTTCATAAAATGTTATGTGCCACATCTTCTGTCTTATCTGCTAAAATGCATTGGGGAATAAATTCAATCCCTCACCTCTGTCATGTAGCTCTCCTGTTCGGAGTGATTCATCAGGTTACTGTCCTCTCCCATTGGTTAATCAAAAGCAGAGTCAGTAAAGACTCAAATGTGTGTGTTATCAAATGTGCCATCATCAAACCCAGAGAGAGAAGCAGTCATGTGTTCAGTGTGGGTCCACAGACAAACATGCTTCAAAGCGCTGCCGTCCTTTTGGCATCCTTTCTTTTTTTAGTTTTGACAATGTCAGGTTAAATATTGATGCTCTGAAGTTGCCTCAAAGACACCATGGAGGGAGGGGGAGAGTGTTTCTTTGGTAACCAAGAGGGAGAAGATTTTTTATAAGACAAAAAAGTACATCAAATACTTTGTTCTGACTGGCAGCTTTAAGAATAGTTTTACCTCGTTTTCACAAGCTGAGGTCCTCAGATTTGATGATTTAGTTCCGAGTACCAGCAGAAACGGTAGTTGGTGAACCTTGGATAGTAACAATCGAACAATGTGGTTTGAATTTATATTGGTACTTTTGTCCAGACATTTTAAATGAACTTTTCATGAGGCTGCACCTCAAGGCTAAATGATTTTATGCATGCATTGACACAAATACCTGCACTGCATTGGAAATCAGGGGGAATCAAATGGGAATCTGACTCTTTTTGTATATCACAGTGCCTATAGATGAGATACT